GGGGATGGATTCCAGCCAGTCCACAATGTTTTCATGGCAACCCCCCCTCCCCCCGGGGGACGGTGTTCTCTAGTCTGTACCAAAGTTCAGCCTTACATACACACTCCTGTGATGTTTCCTGTGCGACTATCAAAGTCTGGATCCAATATCGACAGTTTGTCGGCCAAAGGAGACTCGGAAAGATCAATAGCTGACTGAAGGACTTAATGTCAAAAACCGACCACGGATTTTTTTTAAAAAAAAACTTACATTTGCCTTGAAACATTACCGAAAAACTACGAGCTTAGATATAACTTAGAAAACGCAACGTTTAAATGTTAAAAGCACTGATATGGGACTTGATATTCTCATACTGGCAAAAATTACGATGCTGATCTTCTGGGTTGTAATGTCGCGTGGAGTTGCAGGAACATACTGCCTCTATCTTCGGTGCCGGGGCCGAATGTAACGCATGAAAGAAAAGAGAAATGCACACAAAAACTTGACTCGAAAGTCACGAATGAAGAAACTCAAACAGGGATTGAAATGAGTCTTAAAAAATGGGGCCTCAGGATAAAGTCCAGTGGCGGGCGTTAGTCACGCCACTGATGAATGTCCGTCCACCTTTCGTAATAATAGCGAATTTCTTGACGAACCTAACTATAAATTCCTCAAGGAAAATCCTGTACCGCGAACTTAGTTGGAACTTCCCTGAGTATTTCGCCGTTCTTTCAAAATAACTTCGTAATTTTCGCGGTAGTTTTCCATTTTCACGTTGCATGAGATACTATTTCGTTCTTTTTTTTTCTTTTTTGGGGTATCTGACCTGTCTGTTTCCCTCTCTTTTGACCTCCCTCCGTCTTTCTCTCTATTTAGTTTCCTCTTTATCTCCACTGCAGTCCATCTATACGACTAGCGCTTCATACAAGCCGGCCTGAGTACGCCGTTGTAGCCCTGCACTAGACTTCCATCGCTGTAGGTGGAGGGACTTTTTTGTACGCGTGTATTCAGGTCTCTCCGCCTATCATAAAAGGAACCCCTCCTCGCCTTCATACAAGCACTAGTCTACCTACGTACAGAGTTTTCATGTTGGCTTTACAAACATGGGTGCGTTAGCAAGAATCAACCTTGCACGATGGGACTCACAGTTTCCAACTTTGTTAACTTTTTCCTTTGTTCGGTGGGTGGAGGTCTGTCCACAAAGAGCATGATTCAGTATCAGACGTTAAGAAGGTCGTCTGCTGCATCTACGTAATGCATCTGTCCACGCAGACAGCCTCGTGCCTTCTTCCTGCGTTTGTTGGGAGTCCATTCAACTGTCGCCAATGCTCCATTTTTTTTCTTCCATATCCGCTCTTTGGTATCTGGAATCACTGATCGGTCTCGAGGTTCATTTACTCCCTTACAAACATTTTACTGACACGGCTAAAGAAAAGTAGCTTTTTCTTAGCTCTGTGGTACATACTCTGCTTTCGAGAATGTGCCGCGTCGAATGTCGAAAATTATCCAGCGTTTTTGCATCATAAATCGGGCTAAATGGTAGCACGGACACTGAGCATGGCCAATGGACTGACAAAATATTTCCAAACCGAGATCTGAACCCGAGCGGGAGTGCTAACCATTCGGCCGCGATGTTAGATTTTTTGTTTATTTGTAGTGTTCTGTCTGACGACAGGTCCATATGAACAGGATCCTTCCATCCTTTTCTCGGACTGGGACCTGTTCATATACGTTCTTGGCAGAGATGATCAGAAGTGGTTTGCCATTGCCTTCTTCTGTGTGTGAATGGAGTAACTGTTGGGATGCCACGGAGGAAAACTCCGTGTTGCCTAGACCACGGCCTTGCCCAACACAAGTTATAAATTCGGGCACCGCCGGGAATCGAACCCGAGACCCCAGGATTACAAGGCCAGCCTTCTAACCGCTGTGACTAATGAATACGGAATGACGGCAGAAAACACCACCGTGCGCCAGCGAAAAGTACTTTTTGATCTGTATCTTTCTTCTCAAACCGCTTTAAAAACTTATAATTCGACTGTTCTCATCCTCCAAGCTTCAATACGAAGCAGCCCCTCTGCATAACACGAGTAGTAGTTTCTGATGGATTTACTGGGTGGTTACGTATTGGTAAATTATATATGAGACAAGACTAGGTCTCGAGCCTCCAAAACAACGCATGAGCACTACAGGACTCCGGTAGGATTCAACCGTGCCATTGGGTGTTCAGAGAAGCATTTTTCAAAAGTCTCTACACCTGTAATTTATTGTATCCGTTTGAAAAGATGAGCGGATTCACTCCAAAATAAAATACATTTTTTTATGTTCGGTCTTACAGAAATTGGCCGACGTTTAAGAGGTGCTTAATGCCTCCATCATCCGAGGCGACGGTAAGTTTCTACCAGAAGACGCGAAACAACATCCCAGAAAGCAATTATATATAAATTCCTGTTATTTAAGCCACAAGTTCGTCACAAAAGTCGGCCAATGGACCCCGAACGATGCCATTT